TTATTTCTTCCACGAATTTTTCAATTTTTATTTATCTAGTTTTTGTTTTTCTTCTATTATTCTCTTTTAAAATGATTAAGTCCATAATTTTCCTTGCCAATTTTGACTTCTTAACTGTGTGGATGCCCTCAGCACCATTTTTCTTCTTTTATCATAATATTCACGCATGGAATTCCACGGAAAATTCTACTGATTATTTCACCTTTCAATAATATTACTCGCGTATAATCGTGTGATCAATTATTTTTTTTATTGATCGACCTTTAATAAATGAAAAAAATACGACCCAATCGTCCAGAAATTAAGGGTTTCGGCTGCGCTCAACTATTTCCTAATTTAATTATTCTTTCTTTAGTTATTTTTACGTCAAATAATTTTTTTCTGCTAATTAAAACATTCTTGAAAGTTTCGAAGCCATCACATCCCCATTTAAATGATTTTTTCAATCAAAATTCCTAACAGTAAAAAATATTAAACACTCGCATGATATCAGTAGTGAAATGAAAAGACTTTTCTCCTTTCTCTTCAATTGCGCGAAGGATCGAGCGGAAGAACGCTTCATTGTCCCGTATCGAAACGTTCCATTACGCTCGTAAAGCGATAATGTTCGACAGTACTTTACCGGTGACACACCTATGTCTCAGGAGAGTAAGCGATACTTCATTATTTTCTCCAAACGACTCGTTTAAATTATGTGTAAATTAGCATGACAAAGTCGCAGGTTGCGAGTTCATAAATAAATCGCTCCACCGTCGGGAAATGAGAAAGGAAAAGAAGAATGAAAAAAGTTTAATTACAATTGAGAATTTAAAATTATTTTCACATTTAAATCAAACGAGTGGGAAATTGCTCTTGCATTTCATATAGTATAGTTATTTCTGCTAATAAATTAGTAATGTGACTATAATTCATTGTTTATTTCATTTTATTAAATTGAATAAGATTTCTTTTCAACTAATTTTTTTACATCCAAACAAATTTTTTAAGCCATCATTCAATCAATTCAGAACATTTTTTTAGTTATCGTGATCAACCGATTTTCGAAGAAATTCGAAAATTAAAAAAACTGATCGATGAATTAAATTTTAATCAATGGCGATCGCTAGAGCGCAGCAATACCTACATTTGAAAAAAAGATTCGATTACTCAATTGGAGTAATTCATTCGCGGACAATTGAAGAAAAACTTTGTTTTACTGAGTCGATAGCATCAATTCTTCCAGCGATGAAATTTCCATAAATTACGGTGCGATATGAGAAGAGGCGAGTAACCTAACGTTGCCAGTCACAGAGACGAAGTCAACCTACGATCGACTAGCATCTCCCAACGCTGATTCATAGGATAAACATAGCGGAATTTCCTCCTCTTCCTTGTTTCACCTCCGCCGATGATCACGTGTGACGCCCATGCAATTACCCGGCGCAATCGCACGCAAAATTCCCGTAAATTTTTCCTCCCTCACAATAATTTCGTTCAAATCCCACCCGACAAACAGTGCGAGGCCCAACGGTACTCTCTTGTACGTGATTCCTCTTCCGTTGTCCTTATCACGGTAATGTTTCTGCAATTCTGCGAGGACGGGGGCCTTATCAGTTCGGCTGGGAAATAACTCAAGTCCAAGAGCAGTGAAAATCCTAATTGCGGAGAGAAATCGTTAATTACTCATCCAGCCGTCTCTCTCTAATGTTTTGTTTTAGTATTTTTATTTGAAAAGTCAATGGTATACCTTTGGCATTCTTCCTCGCTATTTTAATTATGGGAATAAGTCCCACGCCGTTGTCTACGCTGCGTGTACAGGGCCCCCTCGCAGCAAGATCATGGGCCCTCCCCCCTTCTAACGTTACCTATGAGACAAGATGCGCTCTTAGTTTCTTCCACGTGCGATATTTACACTTCCGGATGGGGATGTCAAATTCTCACCATTATAGAAATTTTTCCGAGGATGAGGGTAAAATGTGGTTGAGCGGTAAAACGGTAGAAAATAAAATCATTTTCGTTAAAAACAATTGCGATATTATAATTCTAGGGCTTGGAAAATTGATTTTGAGAGTGAATGACGAGGTGAGAGGGAATTTTGAGATTTTTTTTGGTTTAAAGAGCAGTGAAAAATTTTCCACGGAAAATTCACGGAATTTTGTGATTTAAAATTCATCATTTTGTCGAAAAATCCGTGGAAACTGTAACTGCGGAGAAATCTTTCCGTGTTTTCCAGATTTGTCTATATTTTCAGGGAATTTGGCAGTAAATATTTATTTTCACTTGAAAATTCATATAAAGAATGAAATTTCCATCTTCCTGCCCATAAAAAATTGGAACTTGACTTGAATTTTCAAAAAACCTTAAAATTTCATTGGCTTTTTCCCCTTAAGGATATCCAAGTGTCTTATTACAATTAAATTGCGTGAAAAAAATTTGAAAAAAATGAATATTCAACGTCATTCAAATTTTGCATAGAATTATTTTTTTAAACATTCGTTGTTGATAAATAAATAACGAAAATTGCTTAAACTTTCCGCAAGCTTATTTTTGCAGGCATGAAATCAATTTCATGATTTTTATGGTAAAAAAATTGATTGTTGACAAATTATTTATAAAAAATACTCGGAATTTTCAAAAATTACAATTTTTCAATTATTTCATCAATCTTCCTCACAAAATAAACTTTCTAATTTTTTCTCAAATTTTTAAAATGCCATCTAACGGTTCAATATCGCGATTCAAAACCAGACCTGCAAAGTTTAATAATAAAATCATTGTAAAATGTCGGGAAATTCGCCTCAAATGGGAGTCAAATGAAAGCTCTGGCGCTCGACAAAAGTGAAAAAGCATTTCACTGAAAAAAAAATATTAGAACCATAAAAACCGTATTCAGAACTCCCTCCAGAATCTAGTCTCGACGTGTTACCTCAGAGTCAGGCGCATACAGGTGGGTAATAACGCTCATATTCCCAAGAACTACGTGAACCCTCGCCGGCACAGTTGGGAGGTCGCGCTCAGTATTATTCAGAGCACACACTTGGCCGCTGTTTACCCGTCATGTGAATGCCGCAGTTGTCCCGAAATGTGGAATGCAGGGGGGGACTGGTTCCCATTTACTCCACCTTGTTTCGGTTACTTTAAACTTTTCCATTCTCCCCGACAACTTCGTGCTCTCTCTCCTCTCGACAACCACACTTTTATCCGAAAAAAATTCCCCACCGGGGAAACAATGATCCCTCGGATCATGGATAGGTCGTGGTACAGGGGAATGATCGAACGAAACGTTTTGTACAGAGGAGAACGAAAGGAACGGAGGAAGGAGGAGGCGAATAGAAAATATGGCCATGATATTTACTGGTGCGGCCTCCGCGTGAAAGTGTTCTGTGCCTCACACAACTTGGGATATTGCGCGAGGTGAACCAAGACGTGCAATCGCGACATTATAAATTAATTGAATGAAAAATGCATTCCAATACAAATGCGGGGAATCATGAAATTTCAAGTATTCATTGCAACGAGTAATTGAAGGAAAATATGCAATGCCTTTTTTGGGAAAAGGTTGTACTGGTTAAATTGTTTGGTTTAAATTTCCGGGGAGTTTTAGGTCCAAGACGTGCAATCGCGACATTATAAATTAATTGAAGGGAAATATGCAATGCCTTTTTTTTTAGAAAAAGGTTATTCTGGTTAAATTGTTCGGTTTAAATTTCCGGGGAGTTTTAGGTCCAAGAGGTGCAATCGCGATGTTAGGAATTAAATTGAAGAATTAAATAAATGACATTAAATTGATTATAACTAATAAATTAAATTAAATTGAATAATACACGCATTCCAATTGAAATGAGAAGAATCTCGAAATTTTAATTTTCATTGTGAGAGATAATTGAAGAAAAGTATGCAATGCCTCCTTTTTTAGAAAAATTATATGCTGTTTAGATTGTTTGGTTGAAATTTATGGAGGAGTTGCAGTTCTACTGGAATTTCAAAGAATTTTGTGATTAGGAATGCAGAATTTTATGGATAAAGCAATGAGAACTCAATTTCAGCTCAATTATTTCCTGGAAATTAGTAGAGATCAGGGGAATTTCGGTGAATATACTCTTGAATTTGCAATTAAGTCATGATTTAATTGAAAATTTAAATGAGTTAAAGAATTCTCATCTAGAAAATTTGGAATTTCGTTAAATTTTCAGTGAAAAATGAGATTTTATGATTTTTCTTCCTTAAATCGAATTCAATGTCAAATCTGAAAAATTTTGGTTGAAATTTCCGGAACACTTCTTGGAAATTCTGATCACATTTTAGTTCCACTGAAATTTTAAGGAATTTTCTCATTGAAAATTCATAATTTTATGGAACAATCAGTAGAAATCAGAAAAACTCCAGTAAATCCATTCTTGAATTTTGAATTAATTGAAAAATAATCATAATTAGGCACTGAATATTCAAGATTTCATTTAAAATTCAAATAAGTAGAGCAATCCTCATCTAAAAAATATGAAATTTCATTAAATTTTCAGTGAAAACTCCAATTTCATGTCTTTTTCGCCCTTAAATCGCACCCCCAAAAAAAAAATACTCATTTGAATTGAATAGCCTTCATTTGAAATAAATTAAATAAATTGCCAAATGAATTAAATTAAATAAATCCTCCATTAGATTCAAATAAATAATTCATTCCACCCTAATAAACTTTACTTAATTCAAATAAACAAGTTTTCTGCGTGCATCTAAATTTCAATATTCTCCTAACACTTTCCAAAAACCTGCCCAAATCGCATCTAAACCCGGATTCAATTGCTGAACCCTGAGCGACAGATGCTGAACACAAGCCAAAATATTTCGCTGAAAATAAAGCTAAAGGAATAATCCTAAAGGGAGCAGCGAAGGAAAAAAGGTAGTGGGGAAGCCACCTTTCTCGTATTCCTCATTGGAATGGTAAAGGAGAGGAGTCCACCGGTGACGTCACTGGTTCACTCACGAGTGCGACTAGGCCTCTCACTTCGTCGGTGGCACTCGACTCGGGCGGTTCACGGTGCCCCTTCGCATGCCAATTGAAACAAAAAATTAAAAAAAAACAGCGATTATAACAAAAACAGAAATATCGAGAAAAAGAGAAAGGTCTCCCGCGATTACCTTTAGTTTTTATCACAGTGCCCGTACGCTTTACATTAATCTCGGTTTAACAGTTCATTTATTTGTAAACAAAGAGTTAAGGAGTGCTTCATTATTTACTGTGAAAGGTGAAATGAGAGCTGCAACACGTGAATACTGTTGTGTGCACACTAAACGTGATTATGCTCAATCATAAATGAGATTAAATTGAATGGAAATTATTTTAACACTGGAGTGATGAAAATTGAATTGTTGGAGTGAGTGAAATTCTGGATACCACAGATGGATTAGATATTCTCTTTTGAAGGTGAGTACGACGCGCTCAGTATTTTTTTTTTATTATGGAAAATTCAGTCGCTTACGCAATTTTGAGAAGGAGAATAATTTTCGTAGAGTGAATTTTTATGGGGTGGGAGAAAAGGTGACTGAAATTAGAGTTGAGTGATGATTTTCTTAATGTACATTAAACTTTTATTCCCTGAACCACTTAGGCTCTCATGTTACGTTTGCAAGGGGTAACACCAGTGGGGATTACGAAAACGTTGGCTATTCTGCATTTTAGCCTGCGGGAGCTTTCATTTCCTCAATTTCGGGGCGTCGTATGATCATGTTTAGTCTATGTGCAGTCATTTGAGTTTGATGAGGAGGAGAAATCGGGAATTTCAAGTAAAAAATCGTGATTTTTTTAAAAATCGCGCATTCGCTCGAAATTTTTGTGTATTTTGTTCTTGAAAAATCTGTTGAATTCTGGAGTATTCAATGGAATTGCAATTGTTAGGTCCACATGATAATGAAAATTGGTAAATAATTTTGAAAATTCAAGCAACAATTTCCCTGAATTTCCAATTTGAATGAGAGATTCAGTGAACGATTTGATCTTAAATTGAATTCAAATTCCCATTTTTTTTAATTTAATTTTTTTTTTAATTTGTAGTTTTTAAAAAATGTCTAACTGTGTTGAAAAATATAAACATAACTTGAATTTTGAAGATTAAAATGTACACAAAAATATTCTACATGTTTATTTTTGATAATTAATTGTTGATGATAATTATTGATAATTAATTTCAAAGTAAAAAAAATTACACGGAATCCTAGGAGAAAATGAACTTCTCGAAGTTGGAAAAAAAATTAAAGTCTTGAAAAAATTTCGAACAATCAGAAAAAATTAATAAAATATCTATTCTACCTTTTGTAATAAATAATTTGTTTTTGCATGGCCAAAATGGCGTGTTATAAAAATAATTGAAGAATAATTTTTTGGGCTTTCGGGCTTTTGAATTAATTTTTCCTCGTTAGACTCAACGACTCAACTGGAGTTTATTCATACGACTTTAAAGAGCCCAGAGCATGAATGTCGATGATGTCGCAACGATCCGAAAAGTACGTGATTAGGAAAGAACTGAAAATAGTTGAGAAAGAAACTTACAGCTGGGAGTTTACAGTTTTTATGGATTCGATATTAGGGAAATTTAAATAGCCTAATAGATACCCATACACAGAGGAATGTCCCTTACGGACATTTTCGAAATTCCAGTTTATGTAATTAAATCAGAATGGACCAGGCTGATCGTCCGCGGTGTTCCGATGCGTTGATTGTCTTCTTTTATCGTTCCATTTAAAAGGATTTAAAAGGATTCTTAATCGGGCGATAGGTTCCAGACGGAATATTTATGTGAGAGAATTGGTCATTTGATTTTGAATAAATTGACTCTTCGTCGCGAGAGGAATGACAATATTTTCCAATTTTGAAAGTAACGTGACGCTCCGTTCATCAATAATTCCAGTTGAAATTTCATGGGAGTTTAATGTCTATCGAATATCATATTTCATGCACTGGAACGTATAATTTTTCGGCAGAGCTAATTTCTTCTCAAATAAGTTTTGCTTCAACCAAAAAAATCAAGTTGAAAATTACACTGTTAGATATTTTTTGGAATTTCATGGAAAATATGATAATTCTCATGAGAGAGACATTGAATCGGATTTAGCGGAAAATGATAATGAAATTTCCAGTTTTAGGTAAAATTAGAAGAAATTCATGAATCCAAAATTCAATTGGATTTTGAAGAATTCATGATATTTTATTTTCAGCGGGAGTGAGATGAAAATTTCACAACTCCATTGAATTTTCAATGGAACATGAATATTTAGAAATAAAATGACAAAAATTTTCCTGAATTTTCCTCATTTTTCTGAATTTTCACAGAATAATTTAACTGAAAAATCAAGTATTTTATTGAATTCCAGATCATTTGAACAGAAAATCAATGGAATATTTGATTTTTCAAAGACAAAATTGCCCGAAATTACAATGGAAATTAAACACTATAAAAATTTCCAGGATTTAGCACGTAAAATTCAGACGAAAATTTTAAACAATACCAAATAAACCGAATAAAATTAAAAATCAGAAAAAATCTAGGGCCAACCATTTGAACTAAAATTCTTGTCCCAAAGCTAGCTATTGTTCCAAAAAATTGTTACTATCGCTGATAAAACGACTCTGCCAACTTATCCGTATCCCTCTGAACGTAGAATTAACGAATCAAAAATTTCATCGTTCTCCTCCACTAGGACCTCCGCCGGTTCCTAGGAAGCGGAAAAAACGGATTTTGGAGTGTGTTCCGGTCCACCAGATTTTCCAATTACAATGCTCACCTTGCGAATAGTACCGTGGCGGTGTTTCACGGCTGATCACCTCACCCCGCCGGCCCATTCCCCGGAAAATTCACTCCGCGATCTCGTCTCAACTACTTATCTCCCCTGGCAACCTAAATACCACAAATTCATCTTACAAATTGTTATTTGCATACACACGTATCCATGACCGTGAATTGCAAGTGTGGAATAAGAGATATGTATGAATACATGCGGATGCTAAGTGAAGTTTGTACTGGGGGCATTGAGGAAGCAGGTGGCCGCCTTTCCTCGGCCACGGAGCATTTATCCCGCGCGTTCCATTAAATATTTCCTCGGCTGCTTCTAACGGTCCACCTAAAATCTAATTTCCATGGAGCATCTGTTTGTCTTGTATTTTTTTTATCCATTGGGGCATTACGGGTGCATCGATTGGGGGATTTAGCGATTTGGAATTCAAACCGTCTTGGAATTGTAGGAAATTTACATTTAATCGTTCGAACGAACGCACTTTGAGGATAAGTTTTTGGAATATATATTGAAGTTTAGTTTTAAAGATGAATTTAATCAAGTTTAGAAGGAGAATTTATATTCAGGAGGAATTGTGAAGTCCGAAGAATATTTTATTGAAAAGAATAATTAATTTTAATTAATAACTAATTTGCAATAGTTGATTATAATTAAATAAAAATGAGGATGAATACTCATTATCTTTTTCAACTTGAACAGAAAGTTTTTCTTCAATCAAAAGCACCTCATCTCACTACAGAATTTTTCTTACTCGAGAGAAACTCGAGGTCGAGTGTCTCTTATCATCGTGCAATTGGCGAAAAAATAAACAGGTCGATGAATTTTCCCTCGGTATGAAATATGATTATCCATATCTATCGATTGCCAGGGGGCGTGCCGAGGCATTACCCCAGAAGACAAAAATATCGAGACGGATTGTTCACGATTCCACGGTTACACTTGACTTCTTCATTATTATACACTCCAGGCTTATACCGGAATTATTGGAACGTAACGTCACTGAGATCGCTGGAGCGACAAATGATTTTTCAATATTTTCACACATTTTTCACATATTTTTCTTCTATTGCATGTCATTTATCGTTTCATGTTATTTTGAGTGGGGAATTGCGTAGTTATTTTGCACATCATTTTTATCTATCATGTACAATTCATTGTTTATTTCATTTTGTTAAATTGAATAAGATTTATTTTCAACTAATTTTGTCAGATTTTCAACTTAGTTGAATGTTATCATCATTATTATTCTTATTATCCCTTTCTCCTGTACAACCAATCCAATAACGATTATTGCTATCGCCTTCATCTTCGAACTCGATCAAAAGGACATCAAAAAAAAATTTTTAAGCCATCATTCAATCAATTCAGAATATTTTTTCAGTTACCCTGGGGCAACCGATTTTCGAAAAAAAATCGAAAATTAAAAAACTAATCGATGAATTAAATTTTAATTAATGGGGATCGATAGGGCTCAACAATACCTACATTTGAAAAAAAAAAGATTCAATTCCATCCATTCAAAAACTCACTTCGAGTCGATATAACGCAAAAAAATTCAAAACTTAATTTTGAACAATAACAAAGCTTCCATTTGCTAGCAAAAATATCATTTAAATCGCAGATTGCATATCCCTGATTAATTAATATTTCCAAACTTCCACATGCAACAAAGGAAATAACGTCCGGATAATTTTCATCACCAGTATTAGTCACCTCGCAAATGGGGTTTACCTGCGCGTTGCAGCAGTTATATTCAGAAATTATGGACTTTGTGTGATGTTTATTCTGCATCACCAGCGATGATCCCCCCAATGATGAAAAACATGAAAAGCCGATAAATCGATCGTGGAGTGATGTCAACGATCAATGTTGCAAAGCCAGTTTCGTTGCATAAGGCTCCAATCCTCGATTTTTCTTGGCTATAACGAGCCATAAATAAGCCACCAAGCTGATTAATTAATGATCGTGTCTGGCCTCGAGGACTAAATTGAATACTCACGTGTCATCACATAAGCGTTCAAAGGCCAAGAGACAATCTTCAAAAAATTATATTTCTATCAATCTTTTGAGTCTGTAGAAAAAGTCACTGGAGATTCTCATGAATAAAATGTGAAATTTGAAAGGAGATACTTCCAATATTGTCCCGACAGTTGTTCATTGAAAAAAAAATTCTGAAACAAGTTTTGTTTGATGTAAAAAAAATCAGAAGTGAATGAAAAATTTTTATCGCAAAAATAAACTCATCAGACCTGCAACTGTAATTTTAAAAAATATCTCCCGTTCTCCACCACTCGCCTGGAGAATTAAATTCGACTCTAATTCCCTTACGATTAAATATTTTCTTCAAACGAAAGTTAAGAAATTGGATTATCGTTAATTCCCTCATCTTTCTCCTCCCAATCACATTATTACAATCAAATGCATTCAACCAGCGAAATCGTGATATATATCGTTGTATTGCGTGCACCAAAGTGGGCGAAAGTGGTTCCACGATGGGTTTGAAAACCGCATGGAAAATTGAAGTGAATATTCAGTGAAAATATTGTGACAATCATGTGGAAAAAAATCCTTTCACAGGTTAAATACTTTAGTTGAATTTTCCAGAAAAAGACGTCGAGTTCAATTTAAGGGGAAAAA